ATGGGAAGTACGGGGTTTATTGGGTCGCTGGAAGGAGGGAGAAAGAGGTCAGAGGAGGCGGGGAAGGAGGAGAAAGAGACGGGGAAAGAAAGGAAGGGAGGAGGAGGGAATGGCGAAGATATTGGATCCGCGGAGGGAGAGAGGGAAGTTTGTGAAGGAGACGAAGGGGAGGAAGGGACAGAGATGGAGACACATAGAGAGAGTGAAGGAGGAAAGACAAGATGAAGGAAAACCAGGATCGACTGAAAAAAAAACGAAAGAGGGAGAAAATAAACACAAAAAAAATGAAAATTAAGAATGGCAGAGAGGGAGGGGGAGGGAAGGGAGGACGGCGGGAGTGAAGGACAGAGGGAGAGGGAGGATAGTGGGAGTAAGAGGCGGAGGGAGGGAAAGAGAGAAAGGAAGGGAGGGTGAGGGAGAGAGACAAAGAGAGACAGAGATATAGACAAAGAGAGAGAGAGCCAAAAGAAAAGAAAAGATAGATATGACAATGAAGATGTTGATTGGGAGAGAGAGAGAGAGAGAGAGATAGAGAGAGAAAGAAAGAAAGAAAAAGCGAGAGGCAGAGAGAGAGAGAGAGAGAGAGAGAGAGAAAGAGAGAGAGAGAGAGAAGAGAGAGAGAGGACAGAGACAGAGACAGAGACAGAGACAGAGACAGAGACAGAGACAGAGACAGAGACAGAGACAGAACAGAGACAGAGACAGAGACAGAGACAGAGAGAGACAGAGACAGAGAGACAAGACAGAGCGAGACAGAGAGAGACAGAGAGACAGAAGGAGAAAAAAAAGGAAACACCAAAACAACAACAATGCAGAAATCCAGCAGCCATGAGGTTTACTACACACACGCATGCCTTTGCGCTCCCACCCTCACACTGACCCCCTTCCACGCCGCCCAACCTTTCTCACGACAAGGCCTCCCGGGCATTTCAGGCGTGTGGTTAAGATTACGTGCGGGTGTGTGTGTGTGGGGGTGGGGGGGGGGTGGGGGGTGGGTGGGTGAGTGTGTGTGTTGTGTTTGTGTGTGTGTTTGTGTTTGTGTGAGTGTTTGTGTTTGTGTTTGTGTGTGTGTGTGTGTGTGTGTGTGTGTGTGTGTGTGTGTTGTGTGTGTGTGTGTGTACCTGTGTGTGTTTGTGTGTTTGTGTGTTCTTGTATGTTGTTGTGTGTTCTTTATATAGGTATAGGGATTTTTTGTGTGGATAGAGTACGTGCTTGTGAAAGTATGTTTTGGTATGCATGAGCGTTTGTTTTTTGTTTGTTTATGTGTGTATGTGTCTGTGTTTATGTGTGTGGGTGGGGGGGGGGGGTTTTTGTGTGTGTGTTTACATATGTATGGAAATGCCTTTTTTGTGGGTAGAGTGTATGCACGGGCGTTGTGTTTTTGTGTGTGTTTTGAGAGAGAAGAGAGAGAGAGAGAGAGAGAGAGAGAGAGAGAGAGAGAGAGAGAGAGAGAGAGAGAGAGAGAGAGAGAGAGAGAGAGAGAGAGAGAGAGAGAGAATGAGAGAATGAGAGAGAGAGAATGAGAGAATGAGAGAAGAGAGAGAGAGAGAGAGAGAGAGAAACGTGTTTGCGTTCATGTTTGCTTCTTTGTATATTTATGTCCTCCTCGGGTGCTTATATATATTGACATGATCTAGCGAAGTTTTCCCTAAGATTTGTGTCCACTTAATATGTGCGAGCGGTTACCCTGGTGACCATGTACGAATTTTCTGCTTATATACGCTTGTATTGTGCACGCGAGAGAGGCTACATGCATGTTAAGAACGAATAATTTTTGTTTATGCAAAGGCAGAAGCGCGAGAAATTATTGCCTGTCCGTGAATGCCGGAGAAAATAGTGCGTTTTATACAAGCAGTGGCGGCAAAAGATTTCAGGATTGATCATTGATGGTGTGCGTAATATATTCCGATTGGGCTGCTGATCGTTTATCAGGTTCTTTTTGTTCTCTACTTTATCTTATCATTGTTTATCAAGCCTCTCTCGTCAGGCTCTTCTTGACTCTTCTTTGTTCATTTAATTATCGTTTATCAACGTCTCTCACAACTCTTCCCGCAGTTTCTCTCTTCTCCTCGTCCTTTATCAGCCTCCCTCATTCACCCCTTCATCCTTTCGACTTCCAGAAGACGGCCAGGATGAGCAGCTGGTTGCAGACGACGCAGAGGGCGGGCACCTGCAGCGGTGGGCGGTGCGGGTGTCCGCGGGCGTGATAGGCCTCCTGCTGATGGCGGCGGCGGGGATGCTGCTGCGCGCCGTGGATCACCGCTACCCCGCCTCCAGGCTGTGGGCGGCGTCCTCGGGTGAGGAGAGAGAGGCCGGGCGGGCGGGGAGGGGGGGGGGCGCTCCTTCTGCCCCCTCCTCCTCCTCCTTTTCTGCTCTTGTCGCCTTGGCTTTTATTGCGTTTGTGTCATTGTCAACTTCCTCTCCTCCATGTGTGTCCTTCTCACCTTCCTTTCTTCCATGTGTGTCCTTCTCACCTTCCTTTCTTCCATTTGTGTCCTTCTCACCTTCCTTTCTTCCATTTGTCCTTCTCACCTTCCTCTCCTCCATTTGTGTTCTTCTCACCTTCCTTTCTTGCATTTGTGTCATTCTCAACTTCCTCTCCTCTATTTGTGTCCTTCCCACATTTTACGTCATTTGTGTTCTTGTTCCTGCACTTGTTATCCCGCTAACCCTTCTTCCCTCTCGCTTTCCCTCTTTCATTTCTACCCCCCCCCTCCCTCCTTCTCCTGGCGTCCCTCCTTCCCTTCCTTATATTTGACTACCTCCTTCTTTATCCGTGTCTTTCCCTCACTACTATATTTGTTTATCTTCCTATCTATCTATTCTCCCGTTTATCAGTTTATCTGTTTGCCTAGTTTTTATTATATTTATTCGTTTCATTGTTAATTCGATTTATTTTACGTAATAAGATGTTTGCATGTTTGTGTGTCTGTGTTTGTGTATGTATGTATGCATGTATGTATGTACGTATGTATGCATGCATATGTGTGTTTGTGTGTGTACATGTGTGGGAATGTATGTTTGTGTGTGTGTGTGTGTGTGTGTGTGTGTGTGTGTGTGTGTGTGTGTGTGTGTGTGTGTGTGTGTGTGTGTGTGTGTGTGTGTGTTTGCGTGTGTATGCATGTATGCATGCATGTATGTATGTATGTATGTATGTATGTACGTACGTATGTAAGCATGTATATGTGTGTTTGTGTGTGTGCATGTGTACATGCATGTGCGTGTGATATTTATGTGTGTGTGTGTTTGCCTGTGTATTCCTAGAGTCCAGTAAAAATGATCTGATCATAAAAGATTTCTAATGCCGTAGTTCGTATGCAGAGAAGGTCACACTCGACCAGGACTGTTCTACATCCAGTGATGGAGTTGCTTGCCGCTTCTCTCATGCTCGCCTCTGACGCTCGCCCTTGCCCTTCTTCCTTCCATTCCTCCGTTTGTGGCCCTCGCTCCCTCCACTTGTGTTCCTCCCTCCCTCCCTCCCTCCTTCCTTCCCTTCCTCCACTTGTGCCCATCCTTTACTCCTTCCCTCCTCCTCTCTCCCTCCCTCCCTCCCTCCCTTGTGTCCTCCCTCCTTCCTTCCCTCCCTCCCTTCCACTTGTGCCCATCCTTTACTCCTTCCCTCCCTCCCCCTCCCCCTCCTTACTCCATCCCTTCTCCATTTTGCCTCCCTCCCTCCTTCCATCTATCCCTCCTCTCTCCCTCCATCCCTTCTCCATTGTTCCCTCCCTTCCCTCCCTCCATCCCCATCCATCCATCCATCCATCCATCCCATCCTATACCATCCATCACCATCCATCCATCCATCCATCCATCCATCCATTCCCATCATCCATCCATCCATCCATCATCCATCCACCCATCTATCCCTCCTCCCTCTCTCCCTCCACCCATCATTGTCCCTCCCTCCCTCCCCTTGTGTCCCTCCATCCATCCTTCCCTCCGTTCTCCCTCTATATGTACCTCCATCCCTCCCTCTCTCCCTCCCTCCATCCCTCCTCCCTCCCTCCCTCCCATCCATCCATCCATCCATCCATCCATCCATCCATCCATCCATCCATCCATCCATCCATCCATCCATCCATCCATCCATCCATCCATCCCATTCCCTCCCTCCCTCTACTTGTGTCCCTCCCTCCCTCCCTCCACTTATTCCCTCCCTCCGTCCCTCCCTCCCTCCCTCCACTTATTCCCTCCCTCCCTTATTCCCTCCCCCATCCTTCGATCCATCCCTTCCTCCATTTGAGTCCCTCCCTCTCTCCCTCTCTCCTTCCTTTCATCCCTCCCTCCATCAATTCATCCATCCCTCTACTTGTGTCCCTCCCTCCATCCCTTCCTCCACTTGTGCCCCTCCCTCCCTCCGTCCACTTGTATCCCTTCTTCCACTTGTGTCCCTGCCTCCCTCCCACGTTCCATCCCTCCTTCCACTTGTGTCCCTCCCTCCCTCTGTCCCTTCCTCCACTTGTATCCCTCCTTCCCTCCTCCCTCTACTTGTGTCCCTCACTCCCTCCTCCCTCTACTTGTGTCCCTCACTCCCTCCCTCCCTCTTTGTGTCCCTCACTCCCTCCCTCCCTCTACTGTGTCCATCACTGTGTCCCTCACTCCCTCCCTCCCTCTACTTGTGTCCCTCACTCCCTCCACCCCCTTCTCCACTTGTGTCCCTCCCTCCCTCCATTCCTCCACCTGTCCCCCCTTCCATCCCCCCTTCCTTTCCATTCCTTGCGCCAGTTGTATCCATTACTCTCTCCCTTCCTCCATATGTGTTTCCTCCCTTTATCCCTCCCTCCTGTCCTCTGCCTCTATCTATTTAGCGACATATTACCATCCCTCCATTCCCTTGTTCCTGATGTCCTTGTATTCGCATATAAAAATTATCTTCGAAAGTGTAATCCATCAAACATAGACTATTATTTGTTTAAGATGCTGTTCTGACAAATGTAAGTCAGTCGAAAGTCGATCATAAAATTGTACATTTCGGTATTGAATTATGAGATGTATGTGATTTGTACTAATTGTGTTACCATTCGTCAAAATTTAACAAATACAAGTATATTTTCGTCTGAAGAATATATTGCTTTGTTTACAGAAGTTTCATTGCTGCCGTCTGTCTGTAATTAACAATGAAGAGACTTCCATTGGCAGGTGCTAAACTGAGCATAGGAGTCCTACTGACAGACACGCCCCTGGACAAAGACCTCTTGCGGGCGGCGCTGAGAGCGGCACGGGAACAGCACTCTGCCAGCGCCAGACTGAGCGACATCCACGTGAAGCAGGCACAGACTCATGGCACTGCCTTGGGTGCCATCGATGCTTTCAAGAAATTATGGAATGAGGGCGTGAAAATATTCTTGATTGGCGGTGAAAACAGCGACATTCTGAGAGCCTTGTGTAAACACATCGAGAGCAGCGGCCACGCGGGCCTCCTAGTGTCTCCTGAGGCTATGGTCTCACGAGACGTCTGTCCGTGTCTGGTGTCACTCTCGCCGGCCCAGGAGGCAGTGGTCGTGGTCGAAGCGGGGCGATTTCTGGAAGCGAAGGTGAGCCATGTGGTTCCCGTTGTGACCACGTCCGAAGCCGGCCAGTTGACGCATTTGGTGGAGGCCGCGGAAGCACGGAACCTCTCCGTGACTCCTGCGGTGCTCCTGGACCCTCAGCACATCTCCTTGGCACAGCTAAAAGAGAGACTAGCAGAGTATCCTAACGCAGGTGTATGGATATCCTTGGGATCTGACCTGCCGCACCTTTTTGCTGAAATGAGCTATCTGGTCTGTGGCCGTCTGGTGATGATCCACGCGCACGCCGCTCAGCGAGCCCGTCTCCTGCGGCATCCCCTCGCACGGGAAGCAGCCGAAAAGTGTGGTGTGTGCAGCGCGGCGTGGGCGGGCTCCACGAGGGTCGATACATCCGCTCGCCGCCGCCTCCTGGATGACCTGCAACCTGAGGACCCATTATTTGCCTCCCTCGCCTACGACATCACTGGTCTGGCTCTGGCGGCTCTCACCGTCGGTCGTGATGCTTCATTGCCCGAGCTAAGAGCCCAACTGCTGAACCATGACAGTCTCAATGGCGTCACGGGTAGCATGAAGGACGGCAGAAGAAGCGGATGGGTGGCTCGCTTAAGGCTTGTAGCGCAACGCCTGGTAGGGTGGGCGGTTCTTCAGGATACGCCATGGCTGCTGGAGGGATCCACACAGGTCGCGAGCGAGGATGAGGGGCCATGGGCAACTGTCCAGGAAACCCACGCCCCGACACACATGGTGACGCAGGAAGAGATATTGGACATTATTAATCGCGGACGATGTAACAGAAGCGCGCGGGTCGAGGTGACGGCGCACGACCCTCTCACCCACCGCGCCGTCACCACGTCTTGGTCGCCTGCAGAAGCTCCCTACTTGCTACTCATCCCCAACGGTTCCCCGAACGGATTCACCATCAAAGCGTGGTGCCACGAGCGCGATGGAATCCCGAGCATCGAGGTGGGCTGCCACGGAGCCTCGAAGCACAGCGAGGCGCTGGTGTGTGCCTTCGCGACCATGGACAGGGGGCGGCGGGTCGTCCGGAGCATCCTCACCAAGCACGTGTTTCCTTTCAGGCGGCAGCAGTACCACAGACAAAAGGCGTATCAAGAACAGATAAATCGGCGACAGGATTATTATCAACTGCAAGGCCAGCAACATTATGAGCAACATGGCCAACAGCAGGGCTACCACGAACAGCAACAGCAGGGCTACCACGAACAGCAACAGCCGGCTACCACAGCAACAGCAGGCTACACGAGCAGCAACAGCAGGGCTACCACGAGCAGCAACAGCAGGGCTACCACGAGCAGCAGCAGCAGGGCTACCACGAGCAGCAACAGCAGGGCTACCACGAGCAGCAACAGCAGGGCTACCACGAGCAGCAACGGCAAAGTTATGAGCATCAGTATTACCAGGACCAACAGTATCAGCATCAAGATTATCAACAGCCACAATATCAGCAACAAGACCACCAGGAAGACCAAGCGGAACAGTACCAACAGGAAGAGGAAGAACCGCAAGAACAGAAGGAGCAAGACCCGCCCAAAATGCAAGCAAACCGTCCCTTCCGCGGCGGTCCTTTCAGCAAAGCTTTCAAGAAACTGAAAGCGTACCTCACCCATGAAGACTTCAAGTCGATGATCCCACAAATCGGCGGTTGTGTTGGGGCTACAGGAGGATGCACGTTTTGCTTTATGTACCTCCTGTACAATGACGTGGGAGTCAGTCCTGGCGTGTGCTACGGTGCCTGTTCCGTGGCTGTGGGCGGTTCCTGTACAACGCTGCTGGCGAAGGGACTGCAGTACCACCTCGACCACACCGTCATCTGTTCGGAGCTCTTTAGCCAAGGCCACCTCTCCCTCACCTCGTACCTGGCAGATGCGACCTTCGGCTCCCGACTGGCGGCATCCAACCCGCGCGGCCTCAAAGGTTATCAGATCCTAGCCACACCTATCGTGGCTGCCATGCAGGTGTCTCCAGGCGTGACCGCCGTGGTCGAGGCTGTCTCTCAGCCCTGGATCAGACACATGGAGTACGAGGAAGGCCTCCGAGCTGCCGATGACGTCGTCGGTAGTCTCATGACGTCTTTGGGACTCCCGGTGTGTTCCCTTGTGGCAATGGCAATAGACCACGTTGACGCCATTGTTCTTGTTACGATGACCGCTGCCTTGTGGCGGCGAGCGAGATCTTGAAGGCGGCGCTGGATTTGTTAGGGTCAGTGCAAGGCCACTGATCTTGGGCCAGTCCAATCATGTTAGGTTATACTTCCAAGCAGAAAGGATAAATGTCTTGAAAAGGTTAATGCTATTCTATGAATCAGACATTCCGTAAGAAAAACACGTTTATATGATTGTTTATATGTATGATGCTGATAATTACATGTCTATTTCTTGCTTCTCCACGTCGTCTTCTCTTTCAGTGCAGTTTCTCGGTCTTGTATATTCTACGCCACTGTCTTCGTCATTCTAATTGAGCAAAAATCCCCCGCTCAACTGTCTCAGGGATCCTTGTGATAATGGCCTGTCGTCTTGGCAGCCATCATTAAGCTTACTTTCTAACCGCTTTATTTATTTGGAAAGCTATACCTCTGACTTCCTTAAGTAAAACAAAACTTCTGCATTCATTATCTCATCTTTATATAATTTTGATATTATTGTCTATGTCTAATCTTACATGCATGCAAAGGAATCTTTCTTCTCTTTCTTTCTTCCTCTTCCTCTCCAATAACTTTCTGAAACCTAAAGAACTTGTGCCTTGCCGGTGTAAATACAAACATCCAAGGTGAAGAATAATAGTTAAAAAATATATGTACATATATGTATATACATATATACATTTAAGTATATGTATGTTTGTATATGTACATATATATATGTATGTGTGTGTGTTTCATAAATTTATTTATATATTTATAATATTTCTCTGAAGATACACACAATAGCATCAGTTTGTCCAATGTAAGCAAATATGGTTAATGATTAGACCAAATGAATGTGCTCCCACTCTTCAGTCCTTAGTAATAGTTAAACAGTCATTCATTTACAGAAATCATCAGATTGTGATTGAGATGTCCATTCGTATAATCATAAATCATTTACAGTTTCTGATAAACCTTTCTGATTTTTATGTGGACTTTTATCTGAAGGTCACTAGTCATGGTATGATAATTCTATCGTTCTAGCCAGTGTTAAAAGTTTTCATGAAATGTGACATTTATCTTTTCGACTTTATAACCACTCATAGCATGCAAAAACAAATATTCAAAGCAGTGCATACATTTGAGTAAAAAAATATATATATATTTTTAATTATGTTACAGCTATGCAATATGTTAAAATTTATAATCAAAAGTACTGATTTGGATGCAATTTCTTATTCATCACTGCATAGCATAAACAGAACTTCTTCATGCATAATTGATGTCAATAATTTGTAAATAATGTCTCTCAAATTAATACACAATTCAGATCCCAGAAATAAAATACACTTGCACCATTAATGTGTCATTCAAGGACATGTTTAGATGTATACATACAATGTATGTGACATGTGAAAGCTTGCTGATTCTAAGCATATGATATGTAATGAAACCCAAAAAGCTACTTGTATTTTTTTTAGGTTAATGTACAGCTTATCAAAAAATGAGAAAAAAAATATTTATGTTTAATACCATCTGTGCAAGTTGTAGATTTAAGGATACCTCGGGCCGTGATTCTCCTTTTTCTCGTTGATCGACCAGCGATTGACAGGTTTCTCAATGTGCCTGGGGAAGAATACCAGAAAGTGTCTTGTTGCAGAGTCCTTTTATTTATTTATTTATTTATTTATTTATTTATTGTAGTGAGAATCCCACCGTCATTTTTTGGCTCCAACCGCTAACTGTATTCTTTAGATTTTTTTAGGTTTATGTTCTGTGATTCTCAGAAAAATCATGTTGATGGTATACTTCATCCTTTATATTCACATAATGCTTATATCTAGCATTTCTTGTGAGAAATTCTGAATAATCTTGAAAGAAAGATGAAGACTTACTCCATCACAGTTGTTATATACTTCTCTTTTACTTTTTGCTTGTGAAAAAGAGTATTTTTCTTAATCAGGATGAGAACTATATATTAGTTAAAAACTATTGCCTTATATATTTTAAATGTTTCATATAGGGTACTGAAAGCTAAAATTCATGATATAATACTGATCAATGCTCAGAGAAATAACTGCTTCTTAAAATATATATAAGTTACAATAGATAAATAATATCTATGCAACAGTAATACTAGATACTGAGGATATATGATGTGAGAAAAATAAATGATTTAATTTGCTCCTAAATAATAACTGATATTGGTTTCTGACAATTATTTAGTTATAATGAAATTTCATAAAATGCCTTTGATGTCATTTTTTCTTTAGAATTTAATTAATCAGAGAAACTAAAATATGTGTAAATGTTAGCTCAGAAGAAAGCATTAATACCTACAGAATTCACATTAATATATATTATAATCATAAGAGTTGGAATATTATAAAAGAAGTAAATTTAGGTCTTTTATACAGAAATTGCTGATTTATGGCTTGACAGATACTGTATTTTTTTTACATCATGGGGAAATCATATTTTACTCTTCCTTGCTTGTTTTCTATAAAATAATTTTTATTTTTTATAGTCATTATTATGATTTTTCTTCTTATGATCACAAACTATTTTCTTATCATCAGTATTATAACCAGCATTATGCTTGAATCATTGCTGTTAATTGCTTTATTCAGCTATTACATCTATAAGATCACTATTGTTATTTGAAAAATCATTAGTTACTTCAAAATCATAACTGATATTATTTATTTTTAGCACTGCTCTTTTATTACGGTAGTGTCCTTGTTGCCCTTGCCATTTTTAATGTACATCTTTATTTGTGTCTAAAACGGCATTAAGTATGTCAATGATCCTTACAGTTTTTGTTATAATTTTCTATTGTGAAGCATGAATTCACCAAAACCATTATTCATTTCACATTCAACATATAAATTAAACAGCACATACACAAGTGTTTTATTTGGTACATGGATAAAATGAACAAACAATTGATATTAGCCCTGTATTCATCCCCTTATACCACACAGGTCTTTGGCATTTCATATTCCATATGACCTTAACCAAAGTGTACTTTGTTAACTGACTGTGTGTACTTGGTACTGACATAATTACATATGGTAAGGATGTATCAAGCACTGTGCCAATTTCTAAATTTTTTGTTATAGTATCCTATGTATGTGTAAAAATGTATGTGTTCTGTTATGTAAATATCTAGGTAATTTAATCATGTATTTATATATATAAGTACCAAAGTAGATACTTTGCCAAGGCATTTTTATATGTGGAAACTGTCCTGTCATATCTCTACAGTCTAAGCAAAAGAAATCAAGCTTTGAATGTTTCATTATATGTAAAATTTTATTTATATTAATTTATTTGCATATATAGATCATGTTATTTCATAAGTTATTGTTTGTTATGATTTGCTTGTTATAACTGTGTTCTTTTTGCATCACAGGTTTATCTGATGTTAACTTTTGTATAAAGTTACCATAAATGCAAGGCTTGTTCTATCATTATCCTAATCAGTATGAAAAAGATCCCATATAATCTTTGAAGAAAAGATAAATAAATCTTCCTGTAAGACTGAATGCAACAGAAATGCTGCAAGAACATCTTTACAAAGCAAACAGATTAAATTTTAAAATGAAAGATACTGTCTATTTCTAAACAAAGCCCAAAACTAAGTTCTGAGTAAACAGAAACTTTTATGAATTTCAAGGCCTTTGAAGGGTCATGTCTTCAAATATAGTTTACTAGTAATTGACTGTATCAATAGACTTATGAAGTAAACAGGGCTTAAATAACTGTGATTATCTTTAATCCACTGGTTCTGGTTAATGTGACTGTCATGTCAAGAAAAAAAATTGGCAGAGAGACAGTATGACAAGAATATGCCATCATGAAATATTTAGAAGAGATCTTACTTTATTTCTACTAGTAAATGAGTGGAATAAATCATCCATAAACCATGGCTGGAAAAGCACTGGCTTCAGAGAGGACACTATTTCCATGCTCAGGATATTATTCCTGTCTGCTGTAAGTGTGAGGTAGGTTACAGAAAACTGAAGAATATCGAAATATTAAAAAATGACATGAATAACGAAATGTTACTTATTCTTACTGTTATTGCTCATAGTTGTTGATTATCTCTAGCAATGAAATGGAGTCCATGTAAGGAAAAAAGGCTATCAACATTTGGTTACAGCATATCAAAGTGCAATGATGCCTGTGATGCTAGTTTAATTATTATACGGAGAGATGAATTTTAAAATAAAATAAAACCATTTCCATAATACATATTTGCAGAGAGGACAAGAAATCAAATGAAAAGCCAATCTCCTTGTAATATATTTAATGATATCATATCATCTTACTCAAAGATAACCTTTTGTAAAAAAATCTTTAACCTTTACTCTCACGTGAAAAAAATAGGAACAGAAAATCTTGTAATAACTACTTGTTATTATTAGCCTTAGGATACATTCTCAGGGGCTGTGTAGAACCAAAGACTTTGAAGACGTGGACACCATCCCTTTGTAGAACAAGAGTGTAGAAATTGTCTCCATTGGAACGATATGAATGTTCCTGGTGACCCCAGCTTACAGGTGAGTCGGGATGACCATAGACTGTCACACTAAGCCAAGGGACAGAAATGGGACTTCGCTCTAAAAGCCAGCTCCTGTAAAATGTGGAAATGTGTGAAAGTGTACTCTTACAATTGGAATGATACCTTTGTTGTCCTTAATTTGTTGTGTTAATATAACCAGGAAGAATAGGGTAATTCATCACACTTTTCACAGTTATAATATATACCGCAGCTCTCCAAAAATATGGGATTTATAAGGAAAACAACAACAACAACAATATACCCATTATCATATAAAAATAGCAAAGAAATAGAAGTGAGGGCAATTTTTCTCTTAACACAACACACGCATCACAGATTTAAACTCAATGCTGCCGGGAAAATGTAGTGTTCACTGTAGTATTTAGTGAATTGTCTCTACACACAGATGGCTCCACAAGTGCTCAGCCATTAAATACTCAATTAATAGGCCTCATAACCTCACCTGATATCACTTTTCCTTGACTTTT